AGACACGCCCATTGCGCCACGCCCCCATGATTTCGTTGTGCCAGCGAGCTGTGAGAAAAGGGGCGTACGCAAAAGGGGGGCGTGGCCCATAATTACTGCGAAAGCGAAGGGCAAGAGGGCGGAGGACTGTGGAGGTGTTGGTGAATTTTCAAAATTTATAGCATACTTTTCGGCGCAATACGTATACGCAACGTGGCCAGAAAATTGAAGATGTGTGCGCTCGTGTGTGTGCAAGTGTAAGTGGCAAGAAAGTTGAATTTTTATTGAGCAAATTCACGAGTCTCTTAAATATTTGAACACGAGCCAGCGCGAGAAATTGTCAAAGGGAAAAAAAAACTGAAGGAGGCATCCTGCATCAGCGTCGCTTTATGACATTACCCAATGCCGTCGTAAAAATCCAACATGCACTGCCAAGCACCTTGAGGCTCCAGTCTTCCGCATCGTCCGCGCCCAAAACCCCCCATCAAGCCAGTCTGGATACCCCTCTTCCTAATGCCGGATATCATTCGTCGATTTTTGGAACTGCATTAAAGCAAAGTTATGGGCCAGCACATAAATGGGGGCCAGTAAAGGATGTAACGGGCATTGAATCGCCGGAAAGGAGAAAATTCCTGGCAATCTGCATTGGTATAATGATACAAATTTCTTTTAAACATGTATCGTGAAAGGCTTTGATTTAAATTGATTCATCGAACTGCTAGTAGCAGTTACATACTGGAACCAGTGAAAGACTTAAAACATTTCTTGGAATGTTTAAAGAATTTATTCAAAAATATTATATTACCATTTAACATCGTCGTTAAAATTTCAAACTCTTTTTTTTTTTATTTCTCAACAGAAAAGGTTCCAAACTTTTTAAATCCAAATTGAGCAAAATATGTTTTTGACAGTTTTTTATATATCTTTAACTTTTAAATGCACTAAAACTTCAAAGTTAAGAGGTAAAATTTGTATTTTTATTTTGCTAATATTTGTAAGCTCCAAATTTGACTGACAAAATATGAAAAACCTTGAAAGAACTTTTAAGTTCGTAGTATAAATTATATCACTCCAAAAAGGAAATGGCAGACAGAGTGAAAATACACAAACAAATTTATGATGATTGTCCAGAATGATAAACATTTAACTTTTTTTCAACTGAGAATTCATCATTATGCCTTGCTGATTGGAAACCAATGAAATATCATGCACTTTAAAGCTAAAACGATTTAAACTCGAATCCAGCTGCTGTAGATGCACCTGACTTTTATGGTGCTCAGACAGTTAGATGCTCGTAGTTTGTGCAGATAGTCGCTGCTGTGGACACTGCCACCTGAAGTGGAGTGGAATGTAGTGGAGTGGAGTGGAGTGGTGCAAGTACGTCGTAAATAAATAAGCTGCATGATGCCAATTGATGGGGAGTGGTGCTGAGTGGCTCGCTGGCTCAATGGCTCGATGGCGCAATGGTTCGGTGGTGAGTGGGCCAAGGACATTCGCTCCAGCTCCGTAATTAGAATACATTTTGTTTACCAGAAGCTCCAGCTGCGACTGCCCAAGTCAGTGCCACAAAGTATCCACGTCAGATGTTCAGGAAGGGGGCGTGGCAAAGGGCCACTTTAATTACTCATAGAGCAGCCAGGACCCAGAAGTACTCAACAGGTGGGTCACCTTACAAGTCGCAATTTTTTTCAATTTTCAAGAACAAGAGGGTTACAATTTAAAATGTTCATTCATAGCCTTAACTAAATTTAAAATTGATTCGCAGGAATATATAGAAAAAAGATTTAGTAATAAACAACTTTGTTAATACTCCATCATTAACAATTGAATCAAGCAATCAATGCAAAAATATAAATCTAAGTATTTTACATTGTTTCAATTTAACGATTTTAAGTTTGTCCTACACCCAAATTGGGTGGGTTTTTTTTCAAAAAGTGAAGAAATCTACTAATGATTATCTTGAAAATCAAGGGGAAGCTTTTGTAGTACGAAAAGTACCTGTAATGCAGATGCAGCAAACAGAAAATTAGCATCGTGTTTCGCTTTTCTAAAAGAACCCTATTCTTTGAAACGCTACACACGCAGACAAATCTAGATAGTTATACAAAAAATGCCACGATAAAATTTAATGTCATGAAGAAACTTTCACAAGGTAATAAAACGAAAATATTTTATAATTTTATACTTACAAAATATTAGAACAAAACAACGTTAACGTGTTTGAAAAATTTAATAAATGATGTAAAATAATTTGCACAAGCCCATAAGTAATACAGAGTTTCTGTTTAAATTAACTAAATTAAAAGTTAATCATGAAATTTGTACTTTAGAAGAATGAGCTTACTTTATTTTAGCTTTTCTCAGTGAGGGAATGCGCCACAAATCGCCGGAAATCGAATGCCGTGGTACAAGGCCATAGAGACCTTCGACTGCTGCTCCCCTTTCGGCCATTTCAGGGGTTCGATTTTCCGCAATTACCCCTTTTCTGGGCCCGTTAACAAGCTGCAATTAGTCAACGCCCGCGCTGCACTCGTTTGAAATGCAAGATGCAACAGGTGTCCCTTCCACTGGATTTTCCGACTCACCCCGGCTTTTCCCCAGCTTCAGATTCAGGTGGTGCCTGGGCCTGAAAGTGAAAATGGATGCCCAAACCGGTTGACGGCAAGTAGAGAGTTGTTCCCGGGATGGCTGAGATTGCGGAGAAGTAATTAAGTCCACTGCATTTGTCATTTGTCATTTGTCAGAGGGGCACCACAAGGACATGGTTAAAATGTCCTGGGTGTCCTTTTTTCCGCTCGCACTTCAACTGTCGCCTGCCTTTGTTTTCTGTTTTCTGAAATATTTATGCCAGCAAGAAATATTTGTACAGGGCCGTACACACAGACAGGCGGAATTTGTCTTCTCAGACTTTATTTTCCTCTGAAAGGTATTTTAATTTTGCCATCCTTTGTTTCTAAATGTGGTATGTATTTTGCTATCATTTTCAGCTTGTGGTGAAAATGGTTATAACTTTGTTTTTAGGTTGGCATGAAAGTCCCACGCAGGTAAGTAAATGTATATTTTGTTTAATATTGATTTTTATATAACACCATTTTCTAAATATTTCTTTTTTTTTTGGGTAAAAAATAAAAATGCCGAGAACATTATTAGATTTGTTATAAAGTTGTTACTGAACAATTAATAATCATACATAGTAAGTATAGTCCATCCCTTTTCCCGTGGAATGTAGTATAAATTTATGTAAATACGATTAAATAAAGTGAAATGTCTATTTTGCTGAGCTATTTGGAGAGTATGAAATTAAAATAAATGTAAATAAATTACGATACGGCTATTACTTTTTGTAATGTATATTCGTTCATATGTATGTATATTAAATGAGAGCCAAAGTCTAGTCTTTCAATGCCCTTCGAATTGACCTGATTTTGCCCGTTTTTCATGCAGATGCTACTGCTACCGCACAGAGTCTTTTAATTTACTGCGCAATGAGTTTGCCCAGTGTCAGGAAAAATGGTTAACAAAAAGTGGGAAGAACGGGCGCGACATTGGCATGGCATGCCAAGAAGCGATAGAAACCGAGGGCCAGGGATAACTGCAATTGTTGACTTCGTCTAATTGACAGGATGGCAAAGTTTCTAGGAATTATGGCCAACAATATCGGCGTGAAAGGGGCAACTGGGGTAAGTCCTCAATTCGACAGCCTCGGAGATTTATAAGACACAGAGAATGACAGAAAGGGTTTTTTATTCGCATCGAGGCAAACTCTGATGAACGGAAATCGGGAAACTGTGCTCCTTTTTTAAAGTTGATCTAAATTTTTTGTATAAACAATGGAATAAATGCGAAATTAAAATATGTAAGCTAAATTATAATATGTAATTAAAATATATTTATAACAAAACCTTAAATCACGCATTCGCTCTGCTACCCTTTTGCAGTAACGTTATTTGCACCCATTGGGTTCCTCGTATAATACTGGATTCTTGATCCCGAAAACTGCTGAACAGGCGGCTAATTGGCCGCTGATTAACATTCTCTACTCTTTTGGAGTCCCAAATTGGATCATAACCATAATCCCAATCAGTGTCGTGGGTCACATCCTGTCGTCAGTTGATTCGGGTTGGATAGCTAATAAGTTTGGGATTTTTGTTTCACGTCTTTCGTGTGGTTTGAAGTCAACAGTCAGGCGGAAATCGAGTTATGTATATTTTGAAAATAATTAAATCCGCTTTTCAACATCACGTTTTCACATCTCTTGCATTCGAACTAATACCAGTTTCATTTTTTACCCAAATACAATTTTTGGAAAAAGTTTAAAAATTTTTCGAATTTTTTATTTTTTTTTTAACTTTTTTTTTTGTTGTAACTTTACTTGCCCTGAGCCGGCGGATGCAACATTTCTGTTCGAGGGCACTGCAGCGATTCAACCTTCAAACTAGGTTCGAATCGCCACATCGAACCGAACTTGCCTTCGAACCTGTTGTGTTTTGTTCGCAACGCTGCACAGTGAGTCGTTTTACAAGTTGATAATTGCTATCAAATTTTAGCATCAATTACTTTTTTTCTGTTCGATTAAGTCTATTATAAGTTTTAAGATTCTCAAACTCCTTTCGCAACGTTTAAATTTTATTCGTTATTTTATGAACAACAATAAATTATCAATAAATTGGTTTGAGCTCTGGGTGCTTTTTATTTTTCATATAGAGAAGGTGGCTAATTTCAAAAGCAGATACAAATTCAAAAGACTCACAATTTTTTCATTTGTAATTTAAATTGAGAACATTACAGTTAAGGAACGATGTAATACTCAGATTTTAAACACCACCTACTTATTGTTATTGTTATTTTTCAATTTTTTTGTAAAAATAAAAATTGAGCTATTGATAACATTTTAAATTCCAATTACAATACAATTACAATTTATTTGTGGGTTTCTATGTCTTTGGCCCACTGTGCGTCGCTTGGTTCGCTGCCTTTTGCTTCGATGCGATTCCGTTCCAAATTTCATTCCGAACTTCGAAGTCGCGGGTGGCGGACGCTCGGCGGGAAAACTCAAAACTGAAAACAAAAATTCCAAAAACAAAACTGAAACTACTAAAACCAATCTTAGACCAAACAAAACTAAAAAAAAAAACAGTAGAACGTGTGATAAGAACAGCAGATACAACAACAACAACCAAAGTTGACTATTAAATTTTGAGCGCGTGTGTTTGGAATTATTTCTTTGCCATATTATTTCGTGCAATACAAAAACCCAAAAAATCATAATAACAACAACTAAAACGTGGTTGAACAAAATAGTTGTTTTTTTGTTTTCACTTTTTTTTACTGTGCGTGCGTGTGTGTATTAGTTTGTTTGCTTTTTAATTAGTTCGACTCTTGTTTTGATTTTTGTCTTTTTTTTTGTTCGAGATCTCTGCTTTGTGTTTTTGGCAGAACAAAAAAAAAATAAAGGAGGCAAAACAAGTAAGTGAATAACATATAGGAATTTACATTTGGGAAATCGAGAGTCAAGTTCATTTGTTGTTATTTGTTATTGTTATTGTTATTGTTCGACTTTCAATTTAATTCGGTGCACTCTACAAGTGCGCTGCTGACGTCGACGTCGGCAGCGTTTGGGAGATACAGAAAACTGCAAGCGATCTTCGAGTTCCTCCTCTTCTCGATCTTCTTCTTGAACCGCCGGCAAAGGGAACACAGAGAGTGAGAGAAAGAGAGAGATTGAAAAGGAATGCTACAACCGGAGTAACGACTTTCGGATACCCCAATGTCTCCAAATAAATGCGTTGCATACGCGAGGGTGCTAGAAACACTTCAATTTAAAATATCCACATTGTAAAATTTTTTTTTATATTTTGAGTTGCAACAAAACTTGTGATTCTTAAAAGTCTGCATTTTAAAACTTTTGCTGGCAGCTTGAATATGATAGTTCACAATGTATACAATATTAAGTTGAAGAGTTCTTAGACTCTGATATTAGAACGATAATTGGTACAATTCGATACAAAACTCGATTTCATAACTTTTGACCATTACAATATACCCTTGTATTCCAAATGCACGAAGTATAAAAAGAGAACGTGAGAGACCCTTTCTCTCTTTATTTTTGTTCTTTTTTATTACCTCATACCAGGCTTAAAGTTAAAGATCACGTTCCCTCTCTTTCTCAGCTTCTCTCCCTATCACTCCGACTCAAAACACAGTTGGCAAAAAAAAAAAAAAAAACGCAGTCAAAGGTTTTAGTCTGAAAGCCCATAAAGAATTTTTAACCACCTACATTTGTTCTTCGCTCCCTTTTCCATTTGGCCACCCACAAAATGCTACCCTGCGAAAATTAAAGATATTTTATCTTTGGAAAAATTAACATAAAATTCTTAAGGATCTTAATAATAAGACACTTCGCCATCTAAAAAATAATATAAATACAATTTAATTTTTCCGGCTTAAGATTAACATATAATTTTTTTTACCAAACTCAACTGATTAACTTATTTATAGCTTAAAATTGTTATCTTCAAAAATGTGCTAAAAAAATAGAAGAATGTAGTTTTTTTTTTGATTTTTTTCCTAAGCCATATGATAATATATATTTGTTTGCATTTCCAAGATGAAGATAGAATTTCATATTTATGTTAACACCAGAATACTATGATTATTGGATGTTAGATATTCGCAACCTGCTAACTAAATGCCTTTTTGCAGCTTATTGTTGTCGACTTACAATCGACCCCTGCCCCGTCCATAAAAAAAACAAAAGCTTTAGCCAAAACCAAAAAAAAGGGGGATGATGAAGTGGGGTTCGTTTTTTTGGGAGTGCAGGATTTAGAGTGGTGCTTCTTCATCGATGGCGAAATTGTTTTGCTCTTGGCCTTCAGTGGGTTAATGGCCAGGAGCTGCGATGCAGCATCCTGAAAAAAAGAGGAGCGAACGTGGCGGAATTTTGTGGGGTAGTGGGTTATGACCGAGAATTGCTCGTATGTCTGGTGTGCTAACAGGCCACGAGTATTGATTGAGAGCCCCCGGAAACAGATGCCCCTCTTAACCCCTCGTGGTTGAAAATTGCATTCCATGGATGTATCTCTGAACTAAACGTAGTTGCTATCGCATTCCCCGGGGCGGAGTGCAGTTAAGCGCAATCTTGTCTAGAATTTCAATACCAAACAAAACGCTTGACGCTTTGACAGTCCATGCATCAGTGGGGTTAAGCGGGGGTATAAGCGACAGGGGCGGGGCCTTCTAGGGGGTTAAGGGGCCGCCGGGCCTTGGAAAGGAGGGATAAGGGCAGTGAAAAGGTTCTTCTTAAGCAATCTAGACAAGTGGAAATTGTTCTGAATGATGCAACTGCAGCAGACGTCAAACAGAAAAAGTAACAAACAAAGGCCGCCTAGAGCAGAACTGTAACTTAACATTTTTCCGGGGGAAGGGTTAAGTGGTTAAATATGCTTTATATCTTTCCCTTTGAACATTTTGAACGGGCAGAGTAATCGCTAAGAAAATTCACTATGCATCAAGATTCCTTTTATTATTATAACTACTGTTTTATACAAATCTTCTGTTTATGTTAATCAAAAGAGTTTTGACGTTAATAACATCAAAGGAATTTACAGACTTTTTAATAATGGCAGATTTGTTTATTATTAATCCATTAAAATCACTTCTTACTATATTACTGTGCTCAACAAATCATATATTACCCTCTTAAAATATTTCTTTGCACTAAAGAAACCAGTTCAAAAAGAACTCATTTAATAAATATAAAAGTTTATTGGATATTTATCAAGTGTTATTCTAATATAACCTCATTTTGGCATTGAGAATGCAGATGCTCATCTGGTATTATCCAGATAAAATTAAATACTTTGCTTAATTTACTAACCCCACATACAATCCAAGGCATAAACACCTCTGCGTAAAGATTCCTAACGCGAGTTTTTGGAATAAACATCATACGATATGCCGAGTTGATTTAAAATCGTATCAATCTTTCAATTGTGGAATCTATTCCATAGATATGCGGTCTTATCATTTTTTCAATAAGAAGGATCGCCATATTCTCTGACATATTGTATTTACTTAATGATAGCATAAAAGTTAATACATTTTTGATTTATAGAGAAAAAAATAAATGTTACAAACCGATTGATAAACGATTTGATATTAATGTTGGCATACAGCTGTGATCAATATAATAGTTTGTTAGAAGGCCCAAATACTTTTTAATATAAGCTGAGTTTTAAAAACTAATAAAGAAAACTAATATTTTTTAAATCTATTTTATTTTTTAGTACTGGTCAAGTAAATGAATGATTTTTCATTTTGAAAAGTATGAATGTTCTTCTATTATTTTAAAGTCAAGTGTATTTTTTGACTAACACGGCTTTTTCCGTGACGCATTGTAGCTGTTTTTTTTTTTTTTTTGAGGCAAAGTAACCCACTAAACTTAAAGCTAGTATCTTGTTGCTGTGCACCTGTATATCAGCTGCCATGAACGAATTTTCCGTAGCCCCTCGGGGAATTCCCGACTGTGCTATTTTCCCCTGCTGATCCCAGCTGAGTTGGAGTCCATTCAAATGCATTTCCTTGCAGCAGGTTTTTCCCCAGTTTCTTCTGCTTGTGTTCACAAGGGAAAAGGTGTCTCCTTTTTCCCCTTTTTCCCCTTTTTCCCTGGCTCACATCTCACATCTCGCCAAGAGTTTCGTTTTTCACTTTATTACCGCAGGACATTTGCTGCTGCTCGTGCGTTGAGGTCCTTGCCACAAACAAAAAAAAAAACAACTGGCAAGGAAAGACGAAAAAAAGCAACAACAATGAAATCACCCACTTTTTGAGGTTTATTCCATGCATTTTGTGGACCCTTCAAGGGTTGCTCCCATTTTGACATTCAACTTTTCATGGTATTGTTGGTCGGCAACAATGGGCCACAATTTGCTGCTTTTATTTATGGAAAATTAAAATTAAAACTGATTAATTAAGCAGCAGCAGCGGCAGTGGTAGTGGTAGTGGCAGTGGCAGTCGCAGCGACAAAAACAGCAGCAGGCAAATCAAATAAATAAAATAATACACAGCGTTATTTTTTTTGTCGGTTGGCTTTGCTGAACTGTTGTATGAATTTTTAAATTACTCGTATAAAATTTATGTTTTTCTTTTCAGCACTCACACATACATGAGAGTAAGCTGGCGGGGCGAAAAGGGGCGGGACCGAAGGGGGAGGGTGGCCAGACCAGTTTCAGTTTTCAGACTTTGTCGTTGAAAATCTCTCGAACAAATTTCCGAAGCGTGAAGAGCGTCAAACAGCAATAGAGTCTCGAAAGCAGCTCTAAATAATCAAAATCAAAACCCAAACAGCTGTTTTGGTCTTCATTTGAAAATGATGCACTGAAAACAAATAAAAACGAAAGGAACTATATGTAATTAATGATATCAAAAGTAATGTCAAACAAAAATCTACTGACTGTCTTTATTTATTACATAAATTACAGAATGCAATAATACTAAAAAAGCCGTTTTGTACTTTTGTTGTCGGAAATATAAATATATTTTTTTCTTGTATCATTAATTTTTAATTTACCCAAGTATAATTTATATATTTTGCATTAAATATAAATCTAAACATTATATTTATTTCTTCCGTGTGCAAAGACAACTTGATTGTTGTTGCTACTGTTGATGTTGCTGCCGTGTTTGATGTTGCTGCTGTCGCTGTCGTCGCGATTTCAACTCCCGATCACAGTTGAACCGAAATAGATGTCTCTTTTTGGCTTCATTGAGATTTGGCTTGGACTTTTTCCTCTGCGCAAATACTCTTTTTAAGTCGCATGTATTCAATTCGGCAGCAACATTTTGCTTTAGTACTTCATTTCTCTTATTGTACTTAAAGTAAGAGGCATTAAAAGATAAAAATAATACAACTAAAATTACTTTTGTATTAAATAGTTTAGTAAAAATGTAACAAAAAAACATTTTTCCATTTAAACTTTTGTAGTTCTAAAACTAAGTTTTAAGAAAAACAAAGCAAACTTTGTTAAACAATTTTTAATACTTCTTACACTTTAAGTTAATTTTACTTTGGAGAATTGTAGGGCATTTAAAAGAAGGTGTAACTTGTAATTTGTAACTGTGCGCTTGGTTTTCGTTCTCAAACTCAAACTCGAACTCGGACTTTGTCTATCTGTATCGAAATCCGTATCTCTGTGGCTGCATCTGTATCTGTAGTCAAAGCTGAATCAGAATCCGAGTCTGAGACTGACTCAAGGTGACGTAATGGCAACGCCTAAAGTGGCTTTTATACGCTCCACACCAGATCAAGTATCAATTACAAATAATCAAAAGTGGTGGTGTCCACTTTGTGGGTCAGGGGGAGTTGCCTTCGAAAGAAAGGAAGTCTCTGGCTAAATTCAATCGAGATTCGGGACCAGAGGGCGCTAACATCTGAGGTAAACAGACCGAGTGGCACTTGGCGATACAAA